CGCCAGCATCAACTACTCCCAAAAGTGCGGTGACATGACTTTTCTTTTGTTCGGTGTCTCCGAGGGGTGCTCCAGCACCTGCTCGGCGGGATGGCGACGTCGCCAGAGGTCGGCCGGGCCTCTAATTCTCGACGCCTGTATTTCCCAGACGGGTTAAGATTGCCACTCCCCCCGTGAAGGGTGAGACGCTCGTTAGAACAGTTTGTTCGGAGTCCCCGGAAGTGCCCCGGAACTGGTTCTTCATCCCGAGTCGGTTTCTGACGGCCCGGGGGCCCAGCGAAGGCCCCGGGAAAACGGCCAGAGTTGTCGCGTCGTGTTTTCTTCATGACCCGAACATGTCTGGGTCAGCCTACAGTGGAACCCCATGCCAAGAAACACCCTGCTTGCCTCCAGGGTGCCCTGGGTTTCTTTTCGATGGTTTTGCGATGGATCACCGAGCGCGTTCCACTGCTCGCAAAGTGCCTACTCGCAAACGTCCGAAAAACAAACGTCTGCCTCGATATAATCGTAGATCCCCGGCGGCGGACCCGGGCCATTTGCGAGTAGTTACTTTGCGAGTAGTGGAGCGCGCTTGCCGGATGGAAAGCGTGACGTCCCCATACCAAACAACAATGGACCTTGGCATCGCTCGGACGTGTGCAGCTTTCCCTTCGGCGAGGACCATCGAGGAGCGTCCTTGATCCTTTGGCGAAGAAGCCACGCACGAAACCGACAAAAAAACAGGGAATGGACGTCCGAGCGATGGCCAGTGGACGCCATGGGGCTTCAGGGCTGGGCCTCCTGTGGACGGTTTCTCGTGGTCGTGCTCCCGCTGTACAGTGGGGGCGCGTGCCAAGAAACCAGTGGGATTTTGCGAGGGTGCCCTGGGTTTCTTGGATTTCGATGGGCCCCCAATAAGATCTTGACGATTTTCGATCGACAAATTTGGATTCTCACCGAACGACCCGCGGAACTCGGGCCTGGGCCCCCCGCGGACGGTTCCTCGTGGCCGTGCGCCCGCTGCACAGGCGGCGCGCCGAGGGGGGGCAGGCAGACGGGGCGGGCCTCCCCAGAGGGCCGGGAAGGCCTCCGGCCTCTGAGGTGAAGTTTGGCGATTCCGCGGGCCGTTTTCGTTTCGATGTCGTTTTGGGAAGGGCGGATTTGGAGACAAGACAAGGGAGGACGAAAACGAAACGAAAACGAAACACACCGTTTAGGTTCAGCCTTGGCCAGGACCCCAGGTAAGGGGGCCTGGCTAGTCAAGTCGGATACACTGGAGTCGGGCCTGTCCCTCTACAGGGAGAAGATTCGAAAATAGTCCAAGAATAGTCTGGGGACTATGTTTTGAGTATGTTGTGGCATCTTGTTTGAGCATTTTTTGCATATGTTTTATTTTGTCGTCCAAAATCCCCCTGGTAGGGGGACAGGCCCGACCTCATTCTAAGAAGACGTGTTTTAAGTCGGGCATGTTTCTCTACAGGAGGAATCGCCAAGAGTAGTGCAACAAGATCAGGCGCTCGCAAACATGGATTACGGAGGCGTGGATAGGAGACGGGTCCCGCTTTCATGCGAAATCGCGGATCTCCGCTGCCGGACGAGGCGGCACCGGCCGCATTTTGGGGAGGGCGCCTCCCCCGATCCGTGGACTTGGCGACCGCGCGCCAAATCCATGGATCGCTAATCCGTGTTTGCGCGCTTCCGGCAATAGTCTGGTGCCGATGTTTCGTGCTCTTTTGACCATGGCGGATTTGTGTTTGACAATGTTTTATGTGTCTTCCACCATCCGCAGGTAGGAGGACATGCCCGACCTAAGAGACGACCTCCAAGCCCGCTCCGAAGGCAGAGACGGCTTCTCAGAGCCCCGAATCATCAGGGGTATCTCGGGTCAGGGCTAATTGGGGTTCGTTTTTCAGGACTCCGAACCCGAGTTACCCCGGGCCCTTGTTGTCCCCGATAATTCGGGCGTCCAGAGCCCCAAATCATCAGGGGTAACTCGGGTCAGGGCTAACTCGGGTTCGTTTTTCGGGACTCCGAACCCGTGTTGCCTCGGGCCCGAGTTACCCCGGATAATTCGGGCGTCCAGAGCCCCAAATCATCAGGGGTAATCCGGGTCAGGGCTAATTCGGGTTCGTTTGTCGGGACTCCGAACCCGAGTTTCACCACCCACCAGACCACCCCAACCCAACCCGAAGGCTCAGATTTACCCTCGATTTCCAGTGGTGGGGGTGTCGGGAAACGTCGAAAAAACACATGTGGAGCCCGTACCCCCCCTCAACCCGAAATTCGGGTCTTCGGGTTGGGTTTGGGTGGTCTGGTAGGTAGTCACTCGCTGCCCCTGGGCGCGCTGCCGAAATGATTAGCCGTCGTCCCCAATTCGGGTTGACCCAAAAGGGGGTCCAGCGACAAGGGGGTTGTGCAGTAGATCTGGTGCAATAGATTTGTGGGGCTGCAATGCATCTGGGACGTGCACTGCATTCCGGGGCGCAAGTGTAGTGTTGCATGTTCGCGCGCAATGCATTCCTTGCAACACAATGCAATGCGCGTCTCTGGCGCAATAAATGTGCAATGTATTTATTAAAAGTCTATTGCATCACCCCTTTTCAATTGGACCCCCTATTGGGTCACCAAACAAAAACCTTATGTGACAGCATACCACGTGGGTCTTGCATGTTCTCAGAACCTCCGTTTCTATTGTGTATTAGCGTGCGCTACATTGTGGTGATCGATGACAGCGCCGATGGAGCGTCGATCTTGCGTCGATTCGCATCGAGTAGCGTCGGTTAGCGTCGGCTCCCAAGAGCCAGCAAGATGGCATTGGTCGGGGGTTGCTAAGGTGCCCCCGGCCCAAGATGCCCCCAGCTTGTGCCTCCATTTGGAGCCCCCGGGGCCCCACGGGCCTCGCAAGGGGTGTTCCCGAGGCCGTGGGGGCCGTGGGGGCATGGGTACACAAGCAACCCCGGACCCATGCCATCTTGCTGGCTCTTCGGAATCGACGCTGACCGACGCTACTTGACGCGCATCGACGCTCAATCAAAGCTGCCTCATAGATTATCAGAACCCGTCGGTCGTTGAAAGTAGGTGCTTCTGGACTCCCACATCCCAATCTACTGTAGGCGCCCTCGCGGTTCAAGAACTGATATGTTGTTGTTGTTGTTGTTGTTGTTGTTGTTGGTGTTGGTGTTGCTGTTGTTGTTGTTGTTGTTGTTGTTGTTGGTGTTGTTATTGTTGTTGTTGTTGTTGTTGTTGTTGTTGCTGTGGTTGTTGTTGTTGTTGTTGTTGTTGTTGTTGTTGTTGTTGTTGTTGTTGTTGTTGTTGTGTTTGATTATGTTATGGGAGGTCATGGACCCAACACAGTTTACACGCCTTCTACTTGATGATTCTACCTACTTCTCCCGACCGATGTGTATGCGAGCATACGCTCATGCACACCTGACAACACTCGAATCGGAGGCTCCCATGAGTTGCCACCGAACTCATCGCCGTCGCCTCGGGCAACGAAATCCATACATGTCCACTGCCCGAGACCTGGTCCATGCTAGGCTCAGCAGCGGCGCATCCCTGGCCAATCCAGGAGTGCGTATACAACGCTCCTCGGCTCAGGCTGGACCAGGCCTGGGCTCACGTCGGGCATGCCCCTTTACAGGAGGAGTATTCGAACATATGTTTAAAGAATAGTCTGGACACGATTTCTCGAATACGTTTAACCCTTTTGGAGGATTGTGTTGAGTAGCCTTCATTTGTCGTCCAAAGTCCGCCTGTAGGGGGACATGCCCGACCTAAGACTAGGACGCAACTCCCGGAAGGCGACTTTGGGGCCATAACGTCGAGGCGTTGATTTAAGGAAACCCAAATGTGGAACGAGGCCCTTGTTTTCCCATGAATCGAGCTTCGACCTTCCGTGGGAAACCTCAGGAACACCCGAGGGAAATTGTAAAGCAATCAAGGAACACCGAGCCCTTCCCCCACGAAAAGGGTTCCTTCTTCGGCGCCCCGACCGTAGGACGCACCTCCCGAAAGGCGACTTTGGGCAGCGGATGCGTACAGATCCCGTCGCTTTACCGCCAGTCCCACCGTTCCTCGGCTGAGGGGGAGGAGTAGGAGTGAGGAGAAGGAGTGAGGAGGAGGATGAGGAGGAGGAGGAGGGGGAGGAGGAGGAGGAGGAGGACGAGGAGAGAGGAGGAGGAGGAGGAGTGAGTAGGAGTTGTGGTGGTGGTCACTGCACTGAGGAAACAAGTCCCGAGCAGAGCAGCACGCACCACGACCACGACGACGCCGCCGACGACGACGGAGACGAGGCGCGCAGACGATCCGCACCGCAGCACGGATTCGGGAAAGAGCCCACCCTCGGAAACCGGAACGTATACATCACCAGTGGCGGGCTGTTGTTCAATCCCCGAATTTTTGAGGGTCGGGGACGACGTCGGGGTGGTGTGGTGTATACATGTTTCCCCGTTTTCCCGTGGAAACAACCAAAAATATATACACCAGGATGCCGTATACACCATAACCCGTTTTCTTGTTAAAATCTCAGTGCGGGACCGGGAAACAGCATCGGTGTATGAAGTTCGGATCCTTACACCTTACAGTTTCGGTTAAACCGCACATCGTTGGGCGGTACTGCAGTCTCCCATGAGCACAGGCCCCCCTCGGAGCATCAGCCGGACAAGTCGGGCGTTCACCTTCGTGCCTTGCTGGACTCTGGGCGTGTTTCGGCACCCTCTCCCCCAACCTCGTCAGGGCCACCGACAAGGGAGAGGGCGGCAGAGGCCGACGCGTCCTTGGGCAGGGGATGCGTACAGATCCCGTCGCCCTACCGCCAGTCCCACCGCTCCTCGGTTGAGGGGGAGGAGTAGGAGTGAGGAGGAGGAGTGAGAGGAGGAGGAGGAGGAGGAGGAGGAGGAGGACGAGGAGGAGGAGGAGGAGGAGGAGGAGGAGAAGGAGGAGGAGGAGGAGGAGGAGGTCAGGCCTGGGCAGCGGACGCGTACAGATCCCGTCGCCCTGCCGCCCGCCCCACCGCGGAGGGGCCGCCCGACGCGGCGGCCGAGCCGCTGGCGCCGAGCGCGGAGCCGCCCAGCGCGGAGGGCGACGCGCGAGGCGCCGCCACGCGCCCGCCCGGCGGTCTCGCGGAGTTCGGCTTCAGTCGGGCGCCATCCAGGCTCCGCAGGGCTCACGCGGGGAACTCGCGGAGGGAGGGAAGGAGGAGGAGGAGGAGGAGGAGGAGGAGGAGGGGAGGAGGAGGAGGAGGAGGAGGAGGAGGAGGAATTGGAGGAAGAGGAGGACGAGGAGGACGAGGAGGAGGAGGAGGAGGAGGAGGAGGAGGAGGAGGAGGAGGAGGAGAGGGAAGGAGGGAACGGTTGGTATGGCTGCGGTATGGCCCCAAAGTGGCCTTCCAGGAGTTACGTCCTCGTCTGCTCGGCTCTCGCAGGTGTGTGCGGCTGCATGTGCTTTGCGGGCCTGCGCCCTCTGCTCTTTGTTCGTTCTCGTTCTAGAGGGTGCTTTTGTTCGAGGGGGTCATGTCCACCCCTGGTTGGAGAGTTTCTCGGAAGGGCTTAGGCGACCCGTCCTCCTCCTCCTCCTCCTCCTCCTCCTCCTCCTCAGTCTCCTCCTTCTCCCTCCGCCTCCTCCTCCTCCTCCTCCCTCCGCCTCCTCCTCAATCACCTCCTCCCCCCTGCCCTCCTCCCCCTCCTCCCGAGGGTATCAAAATGAATGGTGGTAGAATTGCAGCCTTTAGCAACATGGACGTCAATGGCGAACATGTGCTGGAGATGGCAAAACAAGAATTGGAGGAGAGGGAATGAGCTGCACGAGATGGGCGGCTACAAGACGGCGAAGGACAAGGGTGAGAAGCAGCCAGAGTTCTTAAAAGGCGCTGGATTTGGTGGGCACTTGGAGCGACAACATGCAACTGTTCAACGTCTGCAGGAGGGGCACTGGCTGAGTCGGAAAGAGGGGAGGTGCTTGCTCGTGTGGGCTCGCCTTCCCGAACAAGTTGTGGTGGAGAGGCCCCACTCCCAACTCGAGAAGTTACAAGTGGCAGTTCTGGTGCAAGGCGGAGTGGTTGCAGTTTGCGAAGGCGCTGAAGAAAACGTCTGGGGCAAACAACGAGAACTTACCAACGATCGGGTGCGGGCCCAAGCTCCCCCCATTCAAAAATGGGCCATCGATGGTGGTGGAACCCAAGATGGGAACCACATGGCAAGCGCTCATTGCGGAACTGCTTCCCGCCGCAATTTGACGACGCCATCAAGGAGTGCCTTTTACCAGTTTTTTTTTTCCGGCGCGGCCCAGAAGATGAGCCCAGAGGCGCTCTTCGAGCTGGTCCCGATATCCTTCCCGATGACGCATAAGATCGAAGGTTGCGACCTCATTGCAAGGTGCCCAGTCGACCAATGGGAAAGGTCGGGGAGGAGGGCATTCACTGCGCAGAGTTGGTGCGAGCTGGCGCTGAAGATTGCGAAGACTGAGGAAGATAACCTCCGCAAAGTAATGAAGGTTGCCACCCCAAGGAGCTGAACAACGAGGACAACATGTTCCCAGAGGACGCGAAGAGGTTGAAGGAGGGCCAGAAGCTACGAGACAGCACCCAGGACACGCTGGATGGCACCGAGATCTTCGCGGACAAGTTCGGCTACCCCATGTTTGAGGAGACGATTACGGTCAGCTCATCCAGCGGCCACCATTGAGCTCACCCACTGGAGCCTGCTGCTTCGTCAAGAGGAAGCATTCGCGAGTCTTCCCGGAAGACTTCGGCAAGCTGCGAGCTGGCCGTGCCCGCAGACAGGATGAGCATTAGCGAGGTTTCTCGGAGCGCAAAGCATGACAGCCAGCATGGGCACAACAGACCGCTCGCATCGCCATCGCAACGAGAGGTTAGTTCTGGAGTAACCGTCATGTTCACTATTGCAGGGCGCCGACGGGCAAAACAGCTATCATCGGGAAGCCCACCAGCGCGCTCCCCACTGGCCCTACCTTATACCGCGACTTACAGTATCGGGTTGCAAGTCGAGGGGGGCATGATGGGTTACTTCAACATGCTTCACAGTACAGATGTGACAATACACGGAGCATCTCTCGGAACGACCGAGAAGTGAGCCGAGCGGGAGAGGGGGGCGCGGAATTCAAATTGTAGAATCAGCAGCCACCCCAGCAACAGTTTGGGGTCTCGGGCCTTCCGTCTCTCCCTCCTCTCTTCCTTTTGAGGTCGTGTCGTCGTCTCCTTCCCACCTGGCTCGGGCGCCCTTCAAAGCCCGCGCACCCCGTCCCTTAGGGCGCGCGGAGGGGCCGGCAGCCGCTCCCCCCGCAGTGGCCCGAAGGACTTCGTGATGTGAGGTAACGAGCCTCTCTTACGGAGCCACTTCGGAGCTCGGCCCTCGAGCGACGCGGTATGCCCCCTGCCGGCCCAGGCGAGAAGGCAGTGCTATAGCACGATAAATCGCAGGGGATTTTGACAGTAGAGCGTAGGTCACCTCAGTAGGTGCTCGGACGTTGTACCCCGTTATGCGGATGTCCTTGCCCTTTGTCCTCCTCCTCCTCCTCCTCCTCCTCCTCCTCCTCCTCCTCCTCCTCCTCCTCCCCTTCCCCCACCTCGTCATCGTGTCTCTTACGGCCCCGGGGGGAACAGCGCACTCATGTCCACCCCCGGTTCCCCAGCGTCCAGCGCATGGAGGAGCAAATAATTTCATGAACATGATGCGTTTTCGCAGGGGTCTGCGCAGGTTCTCTTCGGCGGCGCTGGGCGCCCCCGACGACGACGTTGGCGATGTCGATACCATCGCGTTGGATGGTGTTGGGGGATGTTTCTCGTCGCCATGGCTGGACGCGGCTCGCAACGAAACCGGTTGAGATGGACCCGGGGAACGCTTCGGGTGCCGCCAGGAAGGTTGCGATGATTAGGGGGGGTCTCATGGCGGGGGCCATGATAGAACCACAAATTTCATGGGGGCCCATTTTATTCCCAACCCTCCTTGGTTGGGTCTTCGTTTTGAATACAGGGGTGTGGTCGCGTCCTTCTCCCGCCCCTCCCTGTGGTCGCCGTCCCTGGGGGGCTGCGACCTGCGAAACGGTCGCCACTTTCGAGGGTTGCTGGTGGGTCCTGCGGAGTGAGGCACTGCGTGGATCTGAGCGGGACCTCGCCGCCCCTGGGGGGCTGCGATCTGCGAAACTGTCGCCACTTTCGAGGGCTGCTGGTGGGTCCTGCGGAATGAGGCACCGCGCGGATCTGAGCGGGACCTCGCCGTGCTTGGGGGGCTGCGATCTGCGAAACCGTCGCCATTTTCGAGGGCTGCTGGTGGGTCCTGCGGGGAGGCACCTCGCGGATCTGAGCGGGACCTGGCCGCCCCAGGGGGGGTGCGATTTGCGAAATTGTCGCCACTTTCGAGGGCCGCTGGTGGGTCCAGCGGAGTGAGGCACTGCGTGGATCTGAGCGGGACCTGGCCGCCCCTGGGGGGGGTGCGATTTGCGAAATTGTCGTCATTTTCGAGGGCCGCTGGTGGGTCCAGCGGAGTGAGGCACTGCGTGGATCTGAGCGGGACCTGGCCGCCCCTGGGGGGGTGCGATTTGCGAAATTGTCGCAACTTTCGAGGGCTGCTGGTGGGTCCTGCGGAGTGAGGCACCGCGCGGATCTGAACGGGACCCCTCCGTGCTTGGGGGGCTGCGATCTGCGAAACTGTCGCCACTTTCGAGGGCTGCTTGTGGGTCCTGCGGAGTGAGGCACCGCGCAGATTTGAGCGGGACCTCGCCGTGCCTGGGGGGCTGCGATCTGCGAAATTATCCCCACTTTCGAGGGCTGCTGGTGGGTCCTGCGGAGTGAGGCACCGCGCGGATCTGAGCGGGACCTCTCCGTGCTTGGGGGGCTGCGATCTGCGAAACCGTCGCCACTTTCGAAGGCTGCTGGTGGGGTCCTGCGGAGTGAGGCACCGCGCGGATCTGAGCGGGACCTGGCCGTGCCTGGGGGGCTGCGATCTGCGAAACCGTCGCCACTTTCGAAGGCTGCTGGTGGGTTCTGCGGAGTGAACCGCGCGGATCTGAGCGGGGGCTCGCCGTGCCTGGGGGGCTTCGATATGCGGCATGCGAAACGGTCGCCATTTTCGAAGGCTGCTGGTGTGGTCCTGCGGAGTGAGGCACCGCGCGGATCTGAGCGGGACCTGGCCGTGCCTGGGGGGCTGCGATCTGCGAAACCGTCGCCACTTTCGAAGGCTGCTGGTGGGTTCTGCGGAGTGAACCGCGCGGATCTGAGCGGGGGCTCGTTGTCCCTGGGGGGCTGCGATCTGCGAAATTGTCGCCACTTTCGAGGGTTCCTGGCTGGTCCAGCGGGGTGAAGCACCGCGCGGATCTGAGCGGGACCTCGCCGTGTTTGGGGGGCTGCGATCTGCGAAACCGTCGCCACTTTCGAGGGCTGCTGGTGGGTCCTGCGGAGTGAAGCACCGCGCGGATCTTAGCGGGACCTCGCCGTGCCTGTGGGGCTGCGATCTGCGAATTTGTCGCCCATTTCGAGGGCTGCTTGTGGGTCCTGCGGAGTGAGGCACCGCGCAGATCTGAGCGGGACCTCGCCGTGCCTGGGGGGCTGCGATTTGCGAAATTATCGCCATGTTCGAGGGCTGCTGGTTTGTCCTACTGAGTGAGGCACCGCGCGGATCTGAGCGGGACCTCGCCGTGCTTGTGGGGCTGCGATCTGCGAAACTGTCGCCATTGTCGAGGGCTGCTGGTGGGTCCTGCGGAATGAGGCACCGCGCGGATCTGAGCGGGACCTCGCCGTGCTTGTGGGGCTGCGATCTGCGAAACCGTCGCCACTTTCGAAGGCTGCTGGTGGGTCCAGCGGAGTGAGGCACTGCGCGGATCTCAGCGGGACCTCGCCGTGCCTGGGGGGGTGCGATCTGCGAAATTGTCGCCACTTTCGAGGGCTGCTGGTGGGTCCTGCGGAGTGAGGCACCTCGCGGATCTGAGCGGGACCTCTCCGTGCCTGGGGGGCTGCGATCTGCGAAATTGTCGCCACGTTCGAGGGCTGCTGGTGGGTCCAGCGGAGTGAGGCACCGCGCAGATCTGAGCGGGACCTCGCCGTGCCTGTGGGGCTGCGATCTGCGAAATTGTCGCTACGT